AGCTCATGGTCCAGCTGTTTGCATGAGACAGAAGACACTTATGAGGAGGGGTTGGTTGGCCTCAGCCAAAGGTATAGTGATTAGTGGGAACAGGCAAGGTGTTGTACATGCCGGACTTCTGCATATTTACAATATATGTCTGGTGGTACTTCATATTTGCATTGGAATTCGACAACACTATGGTAGCCGGGGGCACTGTTGCATACTTGCATAGTATTTGAGGTTGAATAAAGACACAGGTCTATCAAGTTCAACCTTTATGAAAAGTGCTCAGTGTTCTGAGATCATACGGTAGTACGTGACTATTGTTACCTCCTGGTCATGGAGCAGTCTCTGAACTAGCAGGTATCTGCCTGAAGGATCATGGATCACCTTCTGACTGTCAAAGCAGGCTCTGCGGTGGAAACCAATAAGAAAACCAAGATGTTTTGTAGTCGCGCTTGCCGTGTAGACCATCTGGAATTGTCTGTGGAAGAAGCTTGGTTCCGAAGATTGGGAGAAGTGGGTTTCCTGTAAACAAATATCATATTTCTGTGAGCAAAACTGGCGAAATGCCACCGTTCTCTTATTTGGCGAATTGAATCCCTTAACATTAAGGGACAAAAAATGTAGTGGGGCCATTGCTATAGAGGGATAGCTGCTGTCTTAAATTTAGTGTACCGTTGGGGATACTGGAGCGGAACTGAATCCAGGGGAGAGAGAGCCGTAGGAGAGAAGCAGAGAGAGGAAGACAAGGAGAAGAGAAAAGGGTAGAACAGAAACAAAACAATACTCTGGGTAGGGGGAGCCAGGGAAAAGCCGGCACCCAGGATACCCAGGCAGAACCGTAACCACTAGGACGGCGGGAGCCGGCCATCAAGGGGCAATGATGGCAATGATTGTTGGGTGGCAATGATTGTTGTGCCGCACCGAACACAAGGGTGACTAAGGGGGTGGGCAGGGGACCAGGATAGCCAACAACCATCGTAAGGCACTACACACATGGTGCACACAGTACAGGAGAGCTCAAACACCATCGGCAGACATCAGGACGCATCAAGAGGAGCCTAGGGGCCATGGACCACCCGTTGCAATATCCTAGGACACAGCAACAGAGCTCAGTCTCCCTCCTTTTATCAATGCAGCGAAGCAGGGCATCTTGTGAGGCTGAGGTGCACTCAGGAGAGGGAGAGCTGTGTCTGCTGTCACCATCTGCAACATCGCTGGCTGAGAGGGGAGGAGAGGGCTGGCGTGGTGTCCGTCTTGTGGGACACCATGCCAGCCCAGTCTCGAGCCAGTGCCCGCTATGGCCGTGTTTGCTGGGGCGGGCAGAACGATCTGGCAATGTCACACGGTCGGTGCGGCAGGTGTTTGAGCGGTTGGCTGCCGTTTAGTCCCGGCTAGGTGCGGAGCGCAGCTATAGAGCGTCCTCCATCTTACGTTATGCGCATGCGCCCCCAAGTAGAGGTTTTTAAAGGCCACGCAATTGTTCTGTACCACTGGTCAAGGGTCATGAAAAAGTTCCGTTATTTTTCCCACCATTCCATAGATTGGAGTTTGCTGGAGGAATGTGGCTCAGTATGAAGTTTATAGAAAAATGAGATGCCTTTCTTGCATAGTACAGGATATTGGAAAAAAGAGAGAGAGATTTCCTGATTAGTTGAGTATTCTTTACTTTCATGGAGGCTAGATATTGTCGAAGGCTAGGATATTTGAAAAATTCCTTAGCGGAGATGAAAAATTGTGCACATATATTCTCAAAAGAGCGAAAAGGTCCATTGTCATAAAGCTTGTCTAGATGAGTCACTCCCCGGCCCATTCAAGTATGATATCGATAGATGAAAGAGATATTTGAAAAGGGGATGATGATCCATTGTTGAATTGCTTGAACTCAAAGATGACCACACTTTAATTGGTGCCATAACGATATCCAGGAAATTGTGATTAGGGACAAATTCTAAAGAATAGAGCAGTGTTTTTAGATGTGGAGTATTCAATTTGTGTCCAGATTTTGTCAGAGGAGGGTGTCCACCAGTGGCGAGCTTGATCTAGAATGGTGGTTTTATAATATGTAGAGATATCTGGTGCTCCTAGGCCAGCGTGAGATTTCGGGGAGTATAAACAAGTCCTGGGGATGCATTTTTTTGTATGTTTTGTGCCTTCCCTGAATCTAAAACCCGTTTGAGATTTCTTGAAAAAGTAGGTAGTAACGGAATTGGCATAGCTCTAAAGTAATGAAG